CGTTCAAGTCGTTGAACAACAAATGATTTGGTCAGAATTATTAGAGAAACGACTGAAAACAATATGTTTTTGAACGCGTCGGGCACACACGATAACATCCCCTTCGGTTTCTGGACTGTGACGTCACGATCTGGGTGATGGGTGCGTGACCATCCGAGCTGTCAGGACGTCCTACGCAAACCGGCAAAAGCATTCCGATCGCGCACACCTACCTCTCAGAAACGTGCGCACGATGAGACATATTCGTATGCCACATAGACAACATGTCGAACGATCAGGAGATTGGGAGGGGCAAAGGTACAGCTGTCGGTTTGCGACTGGCGTCGGATCGGGTTCGCGATCTATCCATCTAGAGGTTAATGTACCTAAATATCGATCTGTCTGTCGTTGTATTATTTCCTGGATCCTTCTATCAAAACAACATCCGGTCTCACGATATATGGAACTATCTATTGGTCTCACGATCAAAACATGTATATGTCAATGCCACTGTACATCTATCCGTCTCACTACCTATCTATCGATGGAACAGCCACTGGACAACCTCGGGCAACCAAAGAACAAGCGCGGGACAACGACGGAACGTAATTACGGGATGTCGATATAACTACCTGTCGGTTTCACGACCGAGCTAACGATCTCACTGTCAAGCTATCGTTGAAGGAATGCGTTTCATGGGCGCTTGCCTTGGGAACATTCGGCGGCGCGTTTAAGCCAGAGGGGGCCCCCCAACATTCGTCGCCGTCGAGCAGAACCAGGGGGACTCCCCTCCCCCCTCCCCCCCCCTCCCCGAACCCCCCCCCGTCTCCCCCTGCGTAGGGGGGAGGGGGATTCGAACTCCCCCCCGCTTTGGCGCCGGTTCCGGCGCGCCGGCTGCGGCCGCGGCGGCGGCGGCGGCGGCGGCTGGCAGCGCCGACGCCCACACCCACGCCCACACCCACACCCACGCCAACGCCCACGCCCAGGCCCAGGCCCACGCCCGCGCCCACGCCCAGGCCCACGCCCAAGCTCATACGCACGCCCACGCCCACACCCGCGCCCACGCCCACGCCCACTCCCACGCCCACGCCAACGCCCGCGCCCACGCCGACGCCCACGCCCACTCCCACGCCCACGCCCACGCCCACGCCCACGCCCATGCCCACGCCCGCGCCCACGCCCACACCCGCGCCCGCGCCCAGGCTCAGGCCCAGGCCCGCGCCCGCGCCCGCGCCCACACCCGCGCCCACACCTACGCCCACACCTACGCCCATGCACACACCCGCGCCCACGCCCACGCCCACGCCCACGCTCACGCCCACGCCCACGCCACGCACGCCCACGCCCACGCCCTGCCACGCCTGCGCCCACACCCACGCCCACGCCCACGCCAACGCTCGCACGCACGCCCACGCCCACACCCGCGCACACGCCCACGCCCACACCCACACCCACGCCGACGCCCACACCCACGCCAACGCCCACGACCACGCCCACGCCCACGCCCAGGCCCGCGCTGCGCTCACACGCACGCCCACTGCAACACCCACGCCCACGCCCACGCCCACGCCCACGCCAACGCCCACGCCCACGCCCACGCCCACGCCCACGCCCGTGCCCAGGCCCAGGCCCAGGCCCAGGCCCACGCCTACGCCAACGCTCACACGCACGCCCTTGCCCGCGTCCGCGTCCACGCCCACGCCCAGACCCACACCCACGCCCACACCTACGCCCACACCTACGCCCACACCCACGCCCACCTGCACACCCAGATTCACGCCTACGCTCACGCCCACACCCACGCCCAAGCCCACGCCCATGCCAGCGACCACGCCCACGCCCGCGCCAATGCTCACACGCACGCCCACGCCAGCACCCGCGTCCACGCCTACGCCCCCACCCACGCCCACACCTACGCCCATGCCCGCGCCCACGACCGCGCCCACGCCAACGCTCACACGCACGCCCACGCCAACACCCGCGCCCACGCCCACGCCCACACCCACGCTCACGCCCACACCCACGCCAAGACCCACACCCACGCCCACGCCCACGCTCACGCGCACGCCGACACCCGCGCCCACGCCCACGCCCACGCCGACGCCCACGCCCACGCCCGCGCCCACGCCCACACCCACGCCCACACGCACGCCCACCGCCCACTCCTGCACCCGCGCCAACGCCCACGCCCACACCCACGACCACGCCCACGCCCGCGCCCACGCCCATCGCCCACGCCCGGGTTCACACGCACGCTCACGCCCACGCCCACACCCACGCCTACGCCCACACCCACGCCAAGACCCACACCCACGCCCACGCCCACGCCCACGCCCACGCCCACGCCCACACCCACGCCCACTCCCACGCCCACGCCCACTCCCACGCCCACGCCCACTCCCACGCCCACGCCAATGCGCACGCCAACGCCGGCGCAGGCCAGGGGGGGGTCGGTTCCGGACCCTCCCTTCTCCAAGCGCTCACAGATGGCGCTCTTTCCCAGCGTTCGATCTCACGACCTACTGTCTCACGAATCATCGAGCGATCTTACTATCGCTCGGTCTAAGTGTATCGCTATCTGTCCGCTTTCTCTCGATATCACTGCTCACATAAGAATACAACACATACACACACATATACATATATATATATATAGATACGTACATACGTACATTTACATTCACACATATAATCACTATATATGGACAAACGTAGACGCACATATCCTACTATGTATCTATCGGCCTTGCTATCGACCAATCGAGAAGACAACCACAAAACCACCGCAAAACAATCACGTGACATTCACGGGACAACAACACAACAACCAAAAGACAACCTCGGGACAACTAACGGACAACCGCTGGGTCAACCATCGGGACAAGCGTCGGGACAACTATCGAGACAATCACGGGACAACCATCAACAAAACCATCGGGACAATCGGTGGGACAAACAACATAACAACTGGGAGCCCCTTGGTGCCACGGCTCGGAAACGGGGTGACCCTTTCTGTCCTGACCTGGCCCGATCTAGGCCAGAGCACGCGCGTTCTCGCCTCGTCTCGCCTTGCCTGCGCTCGCGTCACGCACGACACGAATTACACGAAACGATTCCCGTGTTGGTGCATCTCACGTTTCACTTCGGTCGCACCCCCAAACCTCCGATATACAAGGTAGATCCACCTGAGCGTTTCGGTTCCAACCTGGTGGTCGAAATGCCTGCACATGGTATTCATTCGGTGTGAAATTAAGAAATATTTCTGTCAACCTTGATGAACTTGACCGCGTTTCAAGTGCAATTAGATTTGATAACGACCGGAATAATTCCACTCCTTTCAACAAGCATCGCCTCGATCTTATCACGAATTGAATTGGTCGCCCTGCCTCTGCCTCGTTGTTGAGAAACACCCTGCCGATGCCAATTTTGTGCTTCGTGCCGTATGTATCGCCGTCTGACTGCAAACTCGCATCGCCAAGGCGCCCGAATGACAACGTGTTCGACCCTCAGAACTGTGAACCGATGCGACGTGGAAACGACACTATTTCCGTGTCACGTAGTCAATTTTAGCATGTGAGTGCGGTGACCGCTCGAAGTCTGTTATGTCATGATTACTTCTCCAAAGGCCCAATCGTCACACACCATATCCTGCCACTCAGGAGCCACACTGCAGAGAACAGCTAGTCATTCAATCTACAATCAATGAGGCCTTCATGCACTCGGTTGCGTTGTGCTACGTCCGCATGGATCGCGGTGTGATTACGCTTTGGAGCGGGAGGAAAGACCGGCAACCGGCTTGAAGCCTCAACCCTTCTCCAGGAGACTGAGGTAATGATACTCTATCATACAGCATGTGCAGAACGCTGTACTGGTACAACAAACGCAACACTCAGGCCAATACAATTTTTCTCAACCATCCTGTGGTGTTGGGTCCTCGTTTTGAAAAGACAGCGCCCCGCATTCCTCACTCACTTCTCCTTCCTCTCCTCCTCCTCCCCCCTCCTCTCACGCACACAGCCCAGGGACAGCGTTTCGTGGCCCCATAAAGAACTCCACCTACGGTCCCAGTGGCGCAGCTTGCATGCGTCTCCTCCACCACATACAACGTTTCGTGGCCCCATCGGGAGCTCCACCGAAAGTCCCACTGGCGCAGTCCGCATGCGTCCCCCCCACCCAGCACAACGTTTCGTGGCCCCAGATGGAGCTCCACCGAAGGTCCCAGTGGCGCAGTGGGCATGCGTCTCCCCCACCCAATACAACGTTTCGTGGTCCCATAGGAAGCTCCACCGAAGGTTCCAGTGGTGCAGTTCGCATGCGTCTCCCCCACCCAGTACAACGTTTCGTGGCCCCATAGGGAACTCCACCGAAGGTCCCAGTGGCGCAGTTCGCATGCGTCTCCCCAACCCAACACCGCCCAGTACAGCGCCTCGTGGCCCCATAGGGGGCTCCACCGAAGGTTCCAGTGGCGCAGTTCGCATGCGTAGAACCCACCCAATATGACGTTTCGTGGTCCCGTAGGGAGCTCCACCGAAGGTTCCACTGGCGCAGTTCGCATGCGTCTCCCCCACCCAGTACAGCGTTTCGTGGCCCCAGAGGGAGCTCCACGGAAGCGTCTTCCCCACCCAATACAGCGTTTCGTGGCCCCATCGGGAGTTCCACCGAAGGTCCCAGTGGCGCAGTTCGCATGCGTCTCCCCCACCTAGTACAGCGTTTCGTGGCCCCATAGGGGCTCACAAGCACATGTTAGGGTCCTTCGCCAGGCAAATTCTCAACCTGTTGCATTTGTGCCACCAAAGCGCAATCTCATCAGACTCGTGCTTCTAAGCAAGTGTAGTGCACAACGCTCCTATGCGAGTTAATCGTGCGCCTGGCGCGGAAGAACAACAACATGTAGAGTAACAGGCACTAGGGATGGGAATGCTGCAGCGGTGGTCGCGCGGTAGAAGTGTAGATCAATTTCGACGCTTCCTGTCGGAGTTCACCATGGGCACGCTCGGTGAAGAAGCTGCGACACTTGTGGCTCAAAACTCCAAGTTCTGGCGACTCTCGTCCGTCATGGCCCTGTCCCCAAATCTATTATCTCAAATTGTTCTTCGCCATGTGCCTGCTGCTTGCGAGGCTAACCAATCGAGAACGCACTCTGATCATCCGGACATCCTTCGCATCCCCAAGACCAACCTTTCACCCGAGCTCACATGGTTACTCCGCCGAAAACACAAATCAAGTCTGGCTATGCCATGGAAGTGCAATCTGCACGAACGAATCGCAAAACAGCAACCAAGCATTTCCTATGTTATCTCGGATAGTGCGACCTTTGGACGCTGGGCGCAAATTAAGCAAGCGCAGCAGCAACTTCCCCGCATCCTCCTTTCATTCCGTCGCGCCCGCCCAACATCGCCAAATTATGCAAATCCGTGCTAAACCCTCAGGAATGATCTCCACGTGCATCTTGAAACGTCACTGCAGCTCTTGTCTCCCCCTTCCCTCCGATGGTGCTCGTCGTAGGCCGCCTGGAGAACGCATGGCTTTGGCAGATTCTCGGATTGCACTTCCCTTTCGTGCGCAGCGGAAGGTCAGAGATCACCGAGAGAGCACAGCTCCGAATACGGGCATGTCTCTTCTGGTATCTGTGGCTACCGCTGAAGACTGTAGGCGTTGACCCGGGAGAAAGATTGGGAAATGACGCAACTGTAAGAGTACAGGGACGAGGAGGTATATGCATGAAGAGCAGCAGGAAGACGAGGACGACAATGACGTTTTTTTGTTGCTGTTGTTTTTGATTTTTCTTTTGGATCAGAAGAAGAGGCACGTAACGAGGGAGAGCACGATTTTTTAAAGGAAGGACATGAGCAATAACATTGAAGACCAGCAACGGACTGCACGAGGACGGTGTCACAGATAATGCTCCAGTGACATGGGTAGGCTGGAATGGTCTCCACTGATTGATCTGTGAGCTGGGGGCACGAAGAACGTGACGAGATTTGTAGATCATGCCTGGGGCGACAAGCTCGACAAGCTGACGAGGACAAATTGAAGCATATCCTACTTGAAGCATGTCCTACTCTTAACCGGCAAAAGGTCACCAAAAAACTGCAACCTGCCTCCGACAACTTCCCCAACCAATTTTCACCAACATTCGACGACCTATTCTCCGTGTGGATGTGGCGAGGGCGCCCTTTCTTCCGGTCAGGCCGAGTGTGTCAGGCGAGAACAGGCACCGATGTTACGGCAGGAGCACGCACAATATTGTCTTTTTCAGTGCGGAAGCCGCGCACGCGCTCTCTTTCTCTGTGCTATTGTTTAGTCCTTGTTCTACAAATCTATGTATGGATGTATGCATGTACCCATTGCGACATCCGCTTCTCGAAACACACATGTGCCATCGGAATCATTACGATTCGCGAATCAGAAAGCCTGTGCTCCATGTGACATGTGCATCGGCCACTTGCCTTGGGAAACTATCTGCGTTTCCCCCCAATCTGGAAACAAGGGAGAGAGCAACGAGCTCTAGCCTCGAAGTCTGTCTTCAGACGCGCTGCCATGATACGGTGCTGCCTGGGTGCTGTGTCACAATCAATGAACATTGAACGTGCAGTTGAGGATACGCAACTTGCACTCCCATCGTGCTGTCTGTATTTGGTTGCCACGTCTGCGGACATGGGACGCTAATGGTACCTACATCCCCTTGTCAGCACTACTGCTTCGCTCGCGTGCAGAAGTGTCCTTTTAGTGGCACAGTAGCAGTACCATTCGAAGCGTGCCAACCAGACGCAACTGCTCTCAATAATTACCTGCGAGAACGCGAGGCCATTTCCAATGAAGTTGACCAGGATTCGTCAGATTCAGCTGCAAGCCTTTGGCAACGGCAGCGGGAACATTTCCCATAAAACTCCGAACGCAAATCCGCCGCCGCCCCTTGCGGGGGGCCACCGGGCCGCCAGGATTATGTTTCAGCAGTTGGGCAGCTTAGGTCGCATCAGGGCAATCAATCTACAAGCAAAGTTGCAACTCTGCATCCGTTTGTAAAGCCGCCTGAAGGTCTGCACCTCGGGCCAGAGCAGCGATTTCCACACCTCGGGCAGAAAGTGTAGCCCCGAGCCCTCAGAGAAATCGGTGCCGAAACAAGATTCGCTCTCGGCAAGGTTCTCGGCAGGCTGTCGCACGGCTGGGGTTCCACCTTAAGCCCAAGACCCCCCAGGAGCGTGGGATGAGTAGGCAGCCGCACTAGCAGGAGGCTCAGGAGAATAGAGCCAAGATGGAGCCGCTGACGCCTACAACTGTGGCCCAGATAGACTCTGACCTACCTCGACTAGAACTGTCCAGTTGCTCAGGGGGTGATGTTCTAAGTTTCTCAAAGCGCGCGAAGCCCCCCGCGCCCCAAAGCGGCGTCTCGCTGCGTCCGAAACGGAGAACGCAAATAATTATGTATCCGCGCTCCGAAAGCACGGACCCTCAAACAACAATCCAGACCGACCCACGAAACCGGCAACTTTTGCCGATCTGCCAAATTCCGCATGGGTTCCGCCACGAGGTCGAACCAGTACCAGCGCTGTGGTGCTGTGAAATTGCGATTTGGTGCGATGCGCTGTGCTACGCAGTGCTCAGGTTGACAATGCTTTTTTCCCAACCATCCTGTGGTGATGGGTCCTCGTTTTGAAGAGACGGTGGCCCGCGTCTCCTCTCCTCTCCTCTCCTCCTCCTCCTCCTCCTCCTCCTCCTCCTCCTCGCCCATTTCGGTACACCCCTCAAACGCTTTGTGGCCCCATAGGGAGCTCCACCGAAGGCGCCACTGGCTGCGTTCGCATGGTGGCCCCGCCCCATTGTGGCGCACCCCTCACGAGGATCGTGGCCCCATAGGGAGCTCCACCGAAGGCCCCAGTGGCAGCGTTCGCATGTGGGCCCCGCCCCATTTCGGCACACCCCTCACGAGGATCGTGGCCCCATAGGGAGCTCCACCGAAGGCCCCGGTGGCTGCGTTCGCATGTGGGCCCCGCCCCATTTTGGCGCACCCCTCACGAGGATCGTGGCCCCATAGGGAGCTCCACCGAAGGCCCCAGTGGCAGCGTTCGCATGGCGGCCCCGCCCCATTTCGGCGCACCCCTCACGAGGATCGTGGCCCCATAGGGAGCTCCACCGAAGGCCCCAGTGGCAGCGTTCGCATGGCGGCCCCGCCCCATTTTTCGTGGCCCCATTCAGTGGCACGCATGGGCCCCGCCCCATTTCGGCGCACCCCTCACGAGGATCGTGGCCCCATAGGGAGCTCCACCGAAGGCGCTAGTGGCAGCGTTCGCATGGCGGCCCCGGGCCATTTCGGCACACCCCTCACGAGGATCGTGGCCCCATAGGGAGCTCCACCGAAGGCTCCCATGGCAGCGTTCGCATGGCGGCCCCGGGCCATTTCGGCACACCCCTCACGAGGATCGTGGCCCCATAGGGAGCTCCACCGAAGGCCCCAGTGGCAGCGTTCGCATGGCGGCCCCGGGCCATTCCGGCACACCCCTCACGAGGATCGTGGCCCCATAAGGGAGCTCCACCGAAGGCCCCAGTGGCAGCGTTCGCATGGCGGCCCCGGGCCATTTCGGCACGCCCCTCACGAGGATCGTGGCCCCATAGGGAGCCCCATCGAAGGCCCCATTAGCAGGGTTCGCATGGCGGCCTCGGGCCATTTCGGCACACCCCTCACGAGGATCGTGGCCCCATAAGGAGCTCCACCGAAGGCCCCCAGTGGCAGGGTTCGCATGGCGGCCTCGGGCCATTTCGGCACACCCCTCATGAGGATCGTGGCCCCGTAGGAGCTCCACCGAAGGCGCCAATGGCAGTCTTCCTCATGGCTCTCAGAACCCTTTCCTGCTTCTGCTCTTCGGTCAGGGGGACGCCGTCCTCGTGGTCGTCGGCGCCCGCGAAGACGGCCACAAACGTGTCCCTGAGCATGTCGGGCTCCGGCGGGAAGCCGTGGCCACATAGGGAGCGCGGGCGAAGATGGTATTCACAATTGCTGTATCCACAATTGCGTATGGTTGGGCCCTTCGCCAGGCTAATTTTGTTGCGTTGTGCAGTGCGGTGACAAGCTGTGCTAGGCTGTGCTGGAGTGTGCAGCGCAATGCTGTAATGGGTTGGCCTGTGCCGGGATCACCTTCTTCCTCTCTCCCTCCTGCCTACTCTGTGGGGTGTGCCTGGCCATTGCTGGGCCGTGCTGCAATGCGCTGTGTTGCGACGGACCGAAATTCAGCGAACCGAGACGGGGCGTATCTGAATTGAGACGGACCGACAAGCAACAGGACGAACCGAGACGGCTGTGCTGCGGCGCTGTATGCGCACTGTGAGCGCTTGGGGCGCATCTCGGAGCGCTTTCGGACGAGTCCTGACGGAACCGATGTGGATGGTCAGCTCAAGCTGCCTGCACGCCTGGCTCCCCCAGCGAAGGATGCAGTACAGTCGTGCTGGGCACCCCAGCAGCTCGAGCTCGAGATCCATGTGCCACGGGGCGCGCCAGGGGACGCGCCAGTGGACGTGTCAGTGGACGCGCCAAGGGACGTGCCAAGAGACGCGTCGAGGAACGCGCACGAAGAGGTTTCATGTGATGCGCCACGGGACATGTCCAAGGACGCGCCGAAGGAGGTGCCATGGATGTGTCAGGGAAGCGCCACGGAACTAGCCAAGATACATACCACGGGACGCGCCGCGGCGGAGGACGCGCCATGGGACGTGCCATTGGGACGCGCGCCCAAAAACATGCCAAGAAACGTGACATGGGCCGTACCGCGCGACACGTCAGCGGACGTGCCATCGTATGTGGCACGGAGCATTCCGAGAGATCCCCCATGGGGACGATCGAGAGGATGTGCCATGAGACGTGCCAGGGGACGCGCCGCAGATGTGCCAGATGACGCTCAAAGGGATGTGTCAGGAAACGTGCCAAGGGACAGGCTACGGGACACGCCAGGGGAACCAGCCGCTCGGCTCTGCAAGTCTCCCCCCCCCGCCCTCAAAAGCTCCAATCGCCCTTCCCTTCGAGGGCTCCCAAGATTCTTGCCCATGGATCCACGCTCCCAGGGCCACGATCCCCGGTCAATTGCGCTGGATCCGCACTCCTAACACCACGGGCTCTTCTACAGTGAGCTGGGTCCTCGCTCCGAGGGCCACGATCCATTGCAAATTTGTTGGATCAAGACTTTCGGCGCCACGATTCCTGCCTCCTCCTCCTCCTAGCTCCTCCTCCTCCTCCTCCTCCTCCTCCTCCTCCCTCGGGAGCCCAGTCTGGTGGATTTGGAGGGCGGGGGGGGGGTCCCCCGGGGACCGGCGGAGCGAGACACGGGGGGGCCGAGGGCCCCAGCGCATGCCAAGAGGGCACCAAGCTCTGGACGGTCCAGGAGGGTCACGAGCCGCAGATGGATCGATCGAAAACGCCCACGCTGGCCTCCAGACGGCCCAATCGGCGATGTTCTGACCCGGGTCAATCCAGACCCGGGTCAGCAGGAAACTAAAAACTGCAATGCAGGAAAAAAAACTGCAACGCAGGTCTTCGCAAACCCGGGTAAGCCAATAAGCGCGGCCGCCTCGCGGCCACGAGCGGCTCGCTAACCCGGGTCAGCCAGAGGGGGTCTTCGCAGGATTCTGCAGGATCTGGCGCTCTGACTAACCCCCGTCTGCATTAACCCCCGTCTCAAGGCTCCCGACCCAAGAGGCTGCGCCTCAAGCCGGCCTCAAAACGCAGAAATCGCCTCAGTTCCATATGAAAACCTGCATTTTCAGCACGTTCGCCTCTTCTGCGATCGCCACGTCCAAGGACAGCCCAAGGAGCCTCCTGGGTCGCCCCAAGACGCCGACGAGGCCCCTAAGAGGACTCTCAGACGACCGAAGAAGGCCCCAACCGCTCAAAAATCAACAACACACAAGCGAAGAGGCCATCAAACGGCCCTCTGGACGGTCCGAGAGGGCCACGAGCCGCCGAAAGATTGATCGAAAACGCCGACGCGGGCCTCCAGACGGCCCAAGAGGCCCCCCAAAACGCTCCAATACAAGAGGCGCTCCAAAACGGCTTCAAAGAGCAACGATCGCCCCGTTTCCAAAGGAAAATCTGCATTTTTAGCACATTCGCCTCTTCTGCGATCACCACGTCCAAGACAGCCCAAGAAGCTTCCTGGGTCGCCCCACAACGGCCCAAGACGCCCTCAAGAGAGCTTTCAGACGACCCAAGAGGGCTCCAAGACCGCTCACAAAAACAGAGAAACAACAAGCCAAGAAAGCACAAAGATGCCCTCTGGACGATCCAAGAGGGCCATGCGCCGCGCTCACGCTGGCCTCCAGACGGCCCGCGAGGCCCTCCAAACGCCCCAAGACGCCCTCAAGAGGCGTCCCAAGACGGCCTCACAAAAACAACAGTCGCCCATTCCGATAGGAAAACGCGCACCTTCAGCGCATTCACTTTTCGTGCGTGCGCAACGTCCACAACAATCCAAGAAGCCTCCTGGATCTCCCAACGACGGCCCAACCGCCCCCCCAAGAAAGCTTCCCTATGGCCTGAGAGGGCCCCAAGGCCGCTGAAGAAGCCCCCA